ATATATCCTGGTTCATAGAGCTGTCTAAAAATTATAACTCAACTTCCATTTGAGTAATTTCTAATGATAAATTCAACACTTCATGTATTACATTGCTCTTTGATATTCTATACACAAGAGACATTTCTTCGCGAATATACATCGATAAAATCTTATTTACCATCTTGTCTTCTAGACATTTAATACAAAGCTTCAAGCTATTGTTTATAGAGCAACATCATATCGATCTATAGGCATACAAGCTTGAAAATTTGACTTTTAGTGTAATATGATATTTCGTAATCATAATTTGGGATTTTTCTCATGCAGTGAGTCCCACAATGCATTTGTTATTTCTCCTGGCCATATACTTATTCTAGAGAGTAATAAAAAAATATATCCTAAGTTCACTAACTTCAATGGTAGCAAAATATCCTACATGGATTTAGTAATGACTATAACAAATAATTCTACTATTCTGACTAATTCCAGAAAATTTCTTCTTCTTTTGATGCATGCATATGTTAACATAAATTGGACCATGTGCATATAAGTTTACTACATGTAAACATGTAGCAAGGTGCAAAAAGGTAGTGGATGGTTATTCAAAACATTCTTAGAAGCATCCTATCATTTTCAGGATGATGGTATATGCAAATTTTTTGAATTAATACCAAGCATTCATTCGTCCCAAAAATTATTCATTGCTAGGAAAGAAAATAGATATGAGCCTCTTGAGGATATAAGTCTAAGGTCTGCAGGATTTAGAGAGTATACCTTATACAATGTTTCTAATGTAATCATTCAAGATTTTATTCTTGCAATTACATGGTATATACTTCATAACGTGTGATATATAAATAAATGCATTCAAAGGAGCATAAAAATCAACATGGTACATATACATGAACATAAATTAAATACTATAAATATATACAAACAGAGGGATTTTTCTATCAAAATGATTTTCTTCTAGAAATTGGTGGTACATGTAGCTGCAAGCTTGATGATTAGCCACGGTGATGAGCTGCTTGCTAGCATCAAGTTCACAATTCTTCATGCATGCTAAAACTACGGGTTATAAAATTTTCAAAGCCGAACAAAGACGTAGATTATTAGCATGTTGGAACTACATGTTGAAAGGTCCTTGTTTGATTTTGGTAATTAAGTGACAACCTTAGGTGGACTAATATGTGTTTGAGTGAGATACACAGGTGATTACTCCACAAGTACATGTGTGTGAGCAACACATGTCATGGTGGTAAAAATGGCTCGGAGATGTTGCAAAGCTCACACATGTGATGATGAAGGGACTCATTGCATATGAGACATGACATTAAGTCATGTGATCAAGGTATAGAAGATTAAGACAAGGCTTGGCTCGACGGACCGGTTGCAAGTGTGAAGGGAAAGTTGAGTGATGACTTGGCGCCGATGGACCGAAGCAACGGTGAAGAGCAAGTGAAGTCAAGATCGATGAACCAATACGACCACATGATGATATGGAGTGGATCATAACATTATCTATCATGTTGGTTCATGTGTTGCAGCAACATCGAAGGAGATAGAATGAAATACGCAAGGCAAAGGTATAACCTATAGGGCATTTTATTTCACCGGTCATAGGTGTGTAGAGAAGTTTATGACCGGGTTTCGGATATATGACCGTACTATCAAGAGGGACAAACTTGTTTGCATATCGGTCATCTAGTGCCACTCAGGTGATCTAAATTTACATCGTTGCTAGTGAGAAGTTGAGTGGCTAACTCCTTTGAAAAAATGTTTGTGAAATGCTAACACACTTACACATGGTGGTATACACTTGGTGGTGTTGGCACATTTGCAAAGGAGAAAAAGTTGGAGTTGAAACGGATCAACTCGGCGAAGAAACGGAGGTGAGAAGTGGTCACTGGAGGTGACCGGACACTGGCCTCGGAAGGACCTGCCCGTCCGGTCAATTTTAGCCATGGCGCACTGGCTGGCCGAAGGCAAGGAGTTGGGATCGGATGCTAGCCCTAGTTTCACCGACACGTCCGGTCACCTTTTGAAGGGCGGCATGTTGGCACGAACAGACACATAGGGGCTGCGTCCGATTGACCGTGACGTACGCTGATGTGGTGGCACAAGGCGTGGCTGTGACACGTGGCAGCAGGAGAAGCACCGGACGGCGGCCTACATCCGATCAGGTTGGATATGACGTGTCCGGTTGCAAAATAGAGGCTCGAGGAGCTCTCTGGAAATGATCGGACGTTGGCTCATGGTGAGTCAGGTCGTTTCTTCAGCGCACAGGTCGCTGGTTTGGTGGCGTGCGGCAGCGCTTGAGCGGACTCGGGTGGCGCGCGTTAGGTCGTTCTTCGGCGCATCCGGTCATCAGTTGACCGTTGGCACGCGAAGTAGCCGTTGGGATCGCACGGTGGACATTGAACGCGGGCGCCACGTGGATGGCCAGGAGTGACCGGACATAGGGCCTGGTGCGCCCGGTCAACACGACCAGCGCGCCTGGTCGCTGTGAATTTTGCCTAGTGAAGGGGTAACGTCTAGTTTAGCCCGTGGGGCTATAAATAGAAGTGTTGGCTAGCCTTTGATCGGTTGCTGAGCACCCTTGAGCCTTGGTGGCTTGTGTAGGTGTGCTTGGAAGCCCTCTAACTCACTTTTGCTTGATAGTGTTCATCTGATTGAGTGAGTGAGCGATTCTAGTGCAATTGTATCGTGAGGTTGCATCGTGTGGCACTAGGTGGTCGTCTTGTAAACCGGTGGTGCTTGTTACTCTTGAAGGTTGCCACCTCCTAGACGGCTTGGTGGTGGTCTCCATCGAAGCACGCAAAAAACTCGTGCGTTGCTCCGAAGAAGGGATTGTGAGGGGTATTGTACTCATCCCGCGGGAGCCGAGAAGAGCAACTCTAGTAGAGCGAGACGCGAAGCACGACAAGTGGTTCGACCGGGTCAAGTGCTAGAGCTTGTGGTAAGCACTCCATGTGGGACAGAGTGACTTGCGGGTCACCACTAGCAAGAGAACCGGCAGCAACCTTAGAGCTTGTCTCAACGGGGAATAGCATGTTGGTAAGCACGTGAACCTCAAGATAAAAATCACCGTGTAATCTTTGTATTCTCGTTGGTTTGCATCCTCGTTACACAAGCTTGTATTTACTTCATTTACATTGTGCTTGTGTAGTTGCTCTTATAATTAGTTAGCTTGTTAGTTACCTTCTTACTTGTGTAGCATAGAAGTAGCTCCCTTGCGTGACTAATTCGGTTTGAGTAACATTGTTAGTCACATTGCTTAGTTTGTGTAGCTAAGTAATTTACGCTCTATAATTTAGCTTATGTAGCCTTGTTATTGAGCATTGTTAGTGAGCTTAGGTGGCTTTGTGCTTTTGCTTACTAGCATGTGTAGGAGCTTCCCCATTGCTTAAAGTACTAGTGGCATAGGTTTGTGTGACCTTGCTTCTAGAATTGGTTAGATGAGCTCTAGCTAGACCGGCACCATTGTTGTCTAATTAGGATCTTTATAAGGTGATTGTAAACTTAGCTAGAAGGGTATAATCTTAGTTAGATTGATAGTTTTAATTCCGCATTTGTTTCGGTAAGCCGGAGCGATTAATTTTAGAAAGGACTATCGCCCTCCTCTAGTCCGTCATCTTGATCCTACACATGTTCGTGTGCCTGATCTAACAATGGTATGATCAACGGGATCAAGACAATATTTTTACAACTTCATGCCGTATTTTGCTTTCTTTAATGCAAAATTCTTGCCTAATATACAAGTAAGCAACATTCAGGCTGGCTGGATTGTACAATTACGTGTGAGCCAAGGATATGGCTAAGCGACGTGCAGGCCTTGGAGGACACGGTGTCAATGTTCGTGCGAGGTAGGTTGGGCTTATGACATGCGAGCTTTGTGGAGGTGCTTTTTGCACCGTACAGAGGTGGCGTTCAGGCCAGGCCACGATGTGTATGACTTCAGATCGCGGCACATACATGTTGGCATAGTTTAGTTGCTAACTTCATGTTGGCGACTAATTTCATAGATTGCAGCATGCAAGTCGTCATACTATTGTTAGCATGTGTGCCTCGTATACATACCATTTGCGTGCTTGTGTATTTTATAATATACTTATACGTCTATCTACTACATGTAGAATTAATTAGATCAAATAATAGCTCGGCTTAATAATCAGGACAAACGCAATCTGCTGGATGCGATTCTTTCATACCTTTTGGAGGATGTTAATTTGATCTACCTCATATGTCGCGTAGGGCAGTGGTTAGTAGATACATACCGCGTAGGGCGTTTGGCATTGTCGTAGATCTACATGCTTAACAGCTATGGTGTATGTCGATGCAGTGCAGATTAGTTGCAGGTAGTGGTAGCAGATCCGTTCTGCTAACAACATCGGGATGTCGATGTCGTCGAAGTAGTCGCCACGAGATGTCGGCACAAGCGTCGGCGTCGAAGATCGGCGACAGCTTCAACGGCGATGTCGACGTAGAGCTTGTCATGCTGATAACGTATTATAAAACATGTTGTCAGCGGTTAGGACCTTCCTCTCTCCGTCTCTCGTGATCAATATAGTAGATGAAAGTAGAACACATTGGCTCCATTCGGCTTGCTGAATTTTGATTGAAACTAACTGAAAACACTATTCTGGCTGAATTGTTGTGAAAAAAAACACTGTTCCGGTTGAAAAAAGAAACCGAATAAACTAACGTCTGGATAAGCCGAACGAGGCCACGGAAAAAAAAAGATAGGGAGACTATTTTTATTTCTGTCAGTAATCGATGATTACAACGTACAAACGGACTTTGCTCCTGTTCCTGGTCCGTATGTTTTATAACAGCGTCGTCTATCTCGGTCTCCTCTCCTTTTTATTTCCATCCCGCTGGCACCCTCACGCATCTCCTCCTCCCTCGTTTTTCCCTCTCTTATTCAAAAACTCACCACCTCTAGCTAACTCACTCTAACCGCCGTGTCACCTATCCTCTCGCTCGGCCAGGCCACCAGTTGCCAGGTCCGTCCGGCCATGGGCAAGGCGGCGCGCTGGTTCCGCAGCTTCCTGGGCAAGAAGGAGCAGGCCACCAAAGATCAGCGGCCGCAGCACCAGCAGGACCAGGCTCCACCTCCGCCTCCGCCGGCCACAGCCAAGCGCTGGAGCTTCGGCAAGTCGTCGCGGGACTCGGCGGAGGCAGCCGCCACGGCCGTCGTCTCGGCCGGCGCTGGCAACGCGGCGATCGCGCGCGCCGCGGAGGCCGCGTGGCTCAGGTCCGCCGCGAGCGCCGAGACGGACCGCGAGCGGGAGCAGAGCAAGCACGCCATCGCCGTGGCCGCCGCCACCGCCGCCGCGGCCGATGCGGCGGTGGCCGCGGCGCAGGCGGCCGTCGCCGTCGTAAGACTCACCAGCAAGGGACGCACGCCGCCGCCCGGCGTCCTCGCCGCCGCTGGAGGACGCTCCGCCGCCGTCAGGATCCAGACGGCGTTCCGGGGATTCTTGGTAAGGATCGATCCGCAGGAACTTTTTTTTTCTCTCCTTATCCACACCCTGTGATCGAATGGAATCCAACAGTGTTGTGTCGCTGCACTGCTGCCTCGACATGTTAGTGCATTCGTCCGGAGCGGCTGCTCTGCTCTGTTTCGTACCACTGTTGGTTCTTGCTGTAAGTAACCGCATCGTTTCTACGCACGCAGGCGAAGAAGGCGTTGCGCGCGCTCAAGGCGCTCGTGAAGCTGCAGGCGCTGGTGCGCGGCTACCTTGTGCGCAGGCAGGCGGCCGCCACGCTGCAGAGCATGCAGGCGCTCGTCCGCGCGCAGGCCGCCGTGCGCGCCAGACGCGCCGGCGTCGCCGCCGCACTCCCGCACCTCCACCACCCGCCGCCCGTCCGCCCGCGCTACTCGCTGGTACTGACACGCCTTTGGCTACTCGTTCATTCATGCTCACTCTCGTATACTTATATCCTCGCTGTTTCTTGACGTCCGTCCGTCCGGCGGGCAGCAAGAGCGGTACGCGGACGACACGCGGAGCGAGCACGGCGGCGTGGCGGCGTACAGCAGCCGGCGGCTGTCGGCGAGCGTCGAGTCCTCGTCGTACGGCTACGACCGGAGCCCCAAGATCGTGGAGGTGGACCCGGGCCGCCCCAAGTCGCGCTCGTCGTCCTCGCGCCGCGCCAGCTCCCCGCTGCTCGACGCCGGCGGCAGCAGCGGCGGCGAGGACTGGTGCGCCGCCAACCCCGCGACGTCCTCGCCGCTGCCGTGCTACCTGTCCACCAGGGGCCCGCCGCGCATCGCCGTGCCGACCTCGCGCCAGTTCCCGGACTACGACTGGTGCGCGCTGGAGAAGGCCCGCCCGGCCACGGCGCAGAGCACGCCGCGGTACCTGCAGCTGCAGGCGCACGCGCCGGCCACCCCGACCAAGTCCGTCGCGGGCTACTACTCGCCGTCGCTCAGCGGCTGCCCGAACTACATGTCGAGCACGCAGGCGTCGGAGGCCAAGGTGCGGTCCCAGAGCGCGCCGAAGCAGCGGCCCGAGCTCGCCTGCTGCTGCGGCGGCGGTGGAGCGCGGAAGCGGGTGCCGCTCAGCGAGGTGGTCGTCGTGGAGTCGTCCCGCGCGAGCCTGAGCGGCGTCGTGGGCATGCAGCGCGGGTGCGGCGGCGCCCGGGCGCAGGAGGCGTTCAGTTTCAGGACGGCCGTCGTTGGCCGCATGGACCGCTCGTTGGAGGTTGCCGGCGTCGAGAACGACCGGCTGGCGTTCTTGCAGAGGAGGTGGTGACTGGTGACGACCGATCAGCAAGCTCCATTGATTGGAAATGCCAACAAGACGACGAGAGCTTTGGAGGAGTAATTAGCAATAATAATGCGTTTTCATGTGATCTTGCGAGTTCTCGTCCCTTTTCTTTTTCTTGTTTTTGTTTTTGCAATGTGATCAATCATGCGACTAGTGTTTTTTTCTTTTTTTTTTTTAATCAGTGGCCAACAAAGTGTATGAGGAAAATTTGATTCATACTGCACTTGGCATGTAAATTCTTGCTCTTATTCATGCAGTTCTTGGATTGTGTTCTTAATGGCTTTCTTTGTTGGTTCAGAGCATTAAGTGAACTGTTTCTGCAATTGTGGACGCGCCCCAGTTAATTGAATCAGCAAAGCTAGTAATTCATTTCGTATGGACCTTCATGTCACCTAGACAAACAACCTCTACTCTACAGTCCAGTTCCTACCTCAGTAAACTATATGTCCTACTCAATATGGCATTCCCAAAACTTGGCCACAAATCAGCCCAAGTGCCTATGCCACCACCATGGTACCCCTGTGGCTTGTGGTGCACGGCTAGATATCGTTTTTGTTTGTAGCATTGAATGGAATTTGTGCTTGATAGTCTATTGTCCCATACAAAACTAAGGCAATGCTTGAAATATGAGTGTTATCAGTGCGGGGTCCATGAATTTGAGAGACCTGTTCCGTGGAAAAACATTTCAACATAAAAATAGTAGAAAAAAGCATAGCATTTACCTACCGTCCAAGCTCTATCGAAGCTCTTTTTTTTTCCCAAACATAAGAAGGGGCTTTAATCTCTTATACAACACACACCGGAATGGAACTTTAGAGAACTCCTAAGAGAAAAGTTGGTCTCTGTTTTGAAACAATAAAAAAAACTTACCGGAGACATAGGGGTACAATCAAATGGGCAAAGCTTGGGGGATGACGGTACAAAATCTTTCCACGCCAATGCAACCGATAAGCATAGGAAAAAACTTAACCACCTCCCTAAAAACTCCTTTTCGTAATTCAGTTTCCAACCACTCAGAAAAGGTTCTCATCCTATGGAATGCTTTCAAGAAAAGGCAAGGTAAATCAGATTATCATCCTGTTCGTTTGTTGGTTTCAGTCAGGGCTTATCAGCCAGTCAACAGTGTTTTCCTCTCACATCAAACCAGCACTATCCGGGCTTATCAGCCCAGAAACCAACCAGCGAACAGGCTCTATGCTGACTCTTGTTTTGATCTGGACTCTTTCTTCTTCAAAGCTCAGATGATCTAGGTTTTATTGAAGAGCCTTTCACTCAACATTATCAAGACTCTACCTAATGGCAAGTCTCCAGGGTCAGATGGATTCAATAATGAATTTCTGAAAAATGTTTGCTTATGACCAAGCAAATTTATTGGAGAAAGTTCTGAAAAATGTTTGGACAAAATTATTGGAAGTGCTTTACCATTTAAAAAAATCACTACTACACAAATTTATTTCTAATGGAGAAAGTTCTATAGGACACCAAAGGTGGTAGCGACCACCTATCGAGGTTAGCAATGTTGGCCCCCTCCCAACTTGATCTTAACCTCCACGGCGCATCTTGAGTGGCATCGTACATGTTTAAATAGACACTTATGCTATTATATTAACTAAGATTAGAATTTAGGACCTAAATTATTTATTTTTTATTGAAATAGAAAATGAGGATTAGAAAATGAAGATTTTGAATAAAAGGTATAATAAGCACAAGAGTTTTCAACTAAACATGTTTATAAAAATGTAGCAACTAATTGAAAAGTCAAAATCTTGATCTATAATATCACAAAAATATAGACCACAACAAGACCGTAATTTAAGGTAAATTCCAACTAAATCCATTTTCAAGACACATAGAGTGCCACTCAATTTGGATGTTGCTGCGGTGTGAGGAGCTAGGGAGATAATCCGGTTGGCGAGCAAATCTTTGGAGGTGGTCGCTCTAGATATCTTTGCCAAGAATGGATGGAAAAGCAATAGTAGACTTTGCCTATAATTTTCATTCTAAAGTGTGGTCTTTTCCTTCGTTTGTTAATCAACAATTATGCTGAAAATTAAATCTTGCAAGAGATTGGTTGTGTACGTTTGCAGAGGTCAAAATTATTTTTTTTTCTAAAAAAGAGTGCCACCCAAAGACAAACTTTAGATATAGATAAAAAGACATATACGATAAGATCCGGTAGAGATTATGTGTTGATTCGGCAGCGAAATTAAGATATCACTGCCGGTCATGTGCTGATCCAACAGTGTCCGTTACCCCTGAATCCATCTACCACACTGATTACTCGCTTCTCCCTCATCAGATCCACCTTTCACCATGGCTTCTCGTTATAAAACATGCGTTCGGACGCTTTCAGTGGAACAGATGAGGTCCACTACCGTGCTTGTGTAGTTCCACACCGATACAGTACATAACTGTCGGGGACCTAGTACTGGGGTACCCACTGAGGTGAAGCTAATAACCATCAAACGTTGATGCTTTCAAGCAGACAAGAACACAACTGCACTTCTTGCCCGTACGACCGGAGGTTGGCCGCGCCTCGCCTGGCCCCTAAGGGTTGGCTCCGTCTCACCCGACTCCCGAGGGCTGAAGACCACCTCGCCCGACGACTGAGGGCTGGCTTCGCCTCGCCTGACGTCAGAGGGCTGGCTCCGCCTCGCCCGACTGCTAAGGGCTGGCTCCGCCTCACCCGACGACCGGGGACGGGCCTCGCCTTGCCCGACCCCCGAGGGGTGGCTCCGCCTCGCCCGACGGCTAAGGGCTGGCTCCACCTCGCTCAACGACCGGGGATGGGCCTCGCCTCGCCCGACCCTCGAGGGCTGGCTCCGCCTCACCCGATGACCGGGGACGGGCCTCGCCTCACTCGACCCCAAGGGCTAGCTCTGCCTCGCCCAATGACTGAGGGCTGGCTTCGCCTCGCCCAACGTCTGAGGGCTGGCTCCACCTCGCCTGACGATTGCACCCTGCTCCTCCATAATGATGGGCACAGGGTAAGACAGGACATTCGAGTCAACCGCAGTACCGAGGACCATGCCCTGCACGCCTGCAGGAAAGTACCGTCAGGATACGATGGGACGGGCACTTTAAGCCCTTCCAGGCATGGCAGAGCCCGAACAGTGTTGTAGGCATCGACTTTTATCTTACAGTGTTGTGGACGCCGCCATTAGCCCTCGGATGCAGATCCTGACATAAGCATACGACAACCACTATAATCCAAGAGAGAACTCGCATCATCTACAGTTATGGATGTATAGTCACTTCCCCATCTGCTCTCCGTAGGATCATGGCTTGGCACCCCGGCACCCCTAGCACGTAACCACTTGCTGAAACGAAGCCAGAGCACGGCCATGTCAGGATCAGCGAACGTGCTATCCTAGGCATGGTCTGCCATGTCAGCAGGGCAGGCTCAAGGGAAAAGGAAGACCCAGCGCCTTCGAAGGACCGTCTCTACCTTTGGTTTTTTCCTCTTTCTCCCATCTGTAACCCCTGCTCCCCCTTGGTCTATAAAAGGGAGGGTAGGACACCCCACTAAGGGGACGGATCGATTTCACACACAACACATCACATAAACAGCCAAGCAACAACTGAGCTCTTGGCATCCTTTTGACCCTTCCATCAAAGACTTGGGACCTATCCCTCTCTCGACCGTTTGTACCCCATACTACGAACCTTTTTTCGGTGCTAATAACACAAGTAGCAACAGACTGGACGTAGGGACATTCTGCCTGAACCAATATAAACCTTATGTCCTTTAGTACACCATCTGGGCCTAACATGCAACAAATATAAATTTACTACTTAGTGTTTATTCGAAACACCGACAGTTGGCGCGCCAGGTAGAGGACCTTTGCGCGTTGCACATCAGGCCACGTATGGCTAACCACGGCATCAGCTGGGTCCCAGGCGCACACGTGTGCTTCGGGAGCCTAGACTTCATCACGGTGGGGGGAGAGTTGGCATTGGCTCACGCCGCCATCCAATCTCTCCCCTCCATCGGCCTCAACCACGAGAGGCTTGAGTGCCAGCTCAGCGTCTCCCTCGGACCCCAGCAGTCTGGGGAGGATCAGCGTCGCCTCGCCCTTTCCAACGCCAAGGACATGATGTGGTCTTCTGGAGGAGGATCCCTCTCTCCGAAACGCCACATACGGAGCGCCCCGATAGCGCTTCCGTTCGGTCTCCGCAACGCTGCAGTGACCGTTAGCCACCTTGTGGCACGACGCATGGTTTAGCTGCCCGCGAACAACGAGTTTGTGGGAGTGATCAAACACGTCATGGAGTCTCTCCACAACCTCCTCACAGAGGAGCCGGGGTCATCCTTTGGCTCTGACTCTAGCAGGGGGAGCCATCACCCCTCCCAGGACTGCTTCATGATGGGTACCCCCGAGGGGCACGTCGAAAGCATCTCCGCGAAGGAGGCTACCCCAGCGGGCAACCTCAACGACGAAACTGAAGGGGAGATAGCGGCCCCACCTCGCGTAGGGGTGGAGCAGCTAAGAGCTCGAAAGCGGGAGATCGAGGAAGCCAGAATCCAGCTTGTGCGGGAATACGCGGAAGTCTATTGGGAGATCGAACGTCGTGGAGACGGTGGGCGCACACGCGCCAGGGATCATCGCCGACGATGAAGCCCTTCCTCGCTTTGCCCGGGTGAGCCAAAACATCACCGCCGCAATGGCCTTGCTCCATGGCCTTCTAGAGGCCACGACACCCGAGGATCTTCAGGCCCACCATGAGATTTGCACACTACTCGAGCGTGTGGTGGCGTAGCAAGCTAAGAGCTCACTGTCTCGACGACGCGAGCTCGACGTCAGCTAGCGCACAACCTCGGCATGCCCCGCTAGGGATGCGTTAGTCCACCAGGCACCACAAGGCGGCAGGCAGCGCGCCATGGTCCCGATGCATCAACGCATCGGCCGCAACCATTACGCACGTAGCACCCTCGATGCCCACAGACGCACCTACAGTGACCCGAGAGAAGGAGCCCATCGTGG